TTTTTTTTTTTTTTTTATTCACCCCCCCCCCCACACAACCACCCACAACCAAACACACACCAGCATGCCCGCCCCCCCCCCCCCCAGGTTTTCTGATCCCCTTTGAAAATGGTAGCTATAATATTTTGTCGAAATGATAGTGCCCTGATGGATTTGGAGGCAAGGATCAGATGTCCTGTTATTCCTATAGCCATGATCATTTGATTTGACTTCCTGGATTTTTTTCCCCAGAGGAAAAGCATCAAAGAAACAAAGAGAAGCCAGGATCGTCAGAGAAAAAAGTCACTCTCCAGCGCTCCAAAACCTTAATGAACCTGTTCTTTAAGAGCACCCGACTAGGGAGGCCAAGCTCAACAACTGGATCCCTGGAATCACAGAAGCAGTCCAAATTCTCTGCACAGTCTGAAGGGGAGAAAGGTAATAAAAAGTGACCTTTTTAAACAAATAGCCAGGGGTAGGGAGCTTTCAGACCATAGGCTGTACAGAACCCTGAGGGAGAGGGCCTTGCGGCCTTCCCAAATTTCTCTCCCTCCCCCATTCCCTAATTCAGTGTTTCTCAACCTTGGCAACTTTCAGATGGGTGGACTTCAACTCCCAGAATTCCTCAGCCAGCAAGGCTAGCTGGGGAATTCTGGGAGTTGAAGTCCACCCATCTGAAAGTTACCAAGGTTGAGAAACACTGCCTAATTGCAGAAGAAAGACAAGCAGAGGGCAGCAGGGCAGGGATAAGGATTTTTGGAAAGGATGAGTTTAAGGGCAAAGGCTTTTCTCCTGAAAGCTCTACCAGTGGACACCACTTAGCTGTTTAGGGAGGTGGAAAACATCCCTCCTTGTTCGCTCTCAAACTGATGCAGAGTCCCATGGCTTTTAACCCACACGCAGAATTTAAGGAAGCCACTTTTCTCTTTTCTTGAAGGGACAGAAGTGGAGGCAAGCTATTGGGGTGACTCCCAAGGAACACCGAAGAAAAATCATTCCCCCTAGACTCGGTTTTGCACATGTTCTTGCCAGCTGGCATCTATGTTTCTGACTTTAGCTGGTCAATTCCTCCCTGTACATTAGGACTGGACAGCCCTTTTGAAATTGGTTTTCCAGGGCCATTGGGTTGCCTGGGGATGGCTAATATGGCCATAGCGCAACACACACGCACACTTATACCTTTATTCTCACATACCATTATCACAAACAGTGTGCTCATGGCAGTGGGGAAATGAAGTCTCTCCACCGAGATTTACTTACTTATTTACTTACTTACTTACAGGATTTATATGGCCACCTGTCTCATATAATGACTCTAGGCGGCTCACAACAATCCTTAAAAACATGGTTAAAAACAAAAGTACCCTTTCCCCAGGTGTCAGATCAAACCTCCTCGAAGCTCAACCCCCATCCTAGCCCAATGCTTGGGGGAAGGTCTTCTGGGAAGAATGAATGTTAAAGCCTCCCCACTCCAACTAACTAAGGTGGGGGGAGTTATAATTTCACATGCGCTCCAGCAGTCCCTTTGCTGGCAAGATCCTTTGGCTTACCCTCCCCACCACCCACCCCTCAGCATTCTTGAGGGACCTGACTTTCTCTTCCAGCTATAGAGTGACAGTGATCTGTTCCCCAATCGGCCTATGAAATGCGTGATCAAGGGGAACAAGCTGCGTGCAGCTGCCAAGTGGATGATAAAAAGTGCCAAAAGCAAAGCAAAGCAAAGGCATCCCCCACCCTGAAGTCAGTAAACTGGGGGCAAAGAAAAGTCAGGAGTTGGATCATAGTGGGCATCTCTAAGCATTGCTGGTACACCATATAAAATATCCTAGAGCATCACACGTTGTTTATGTTATACAGTAATGCTTTAGCAGATGGATATACATTAGGCTGCCAGGTCTTGACAGGAGACGACACTGCAGATCAGACAATCACCACTGAGGGGCTGCATCCAATTGCTGTTCCTTCTACATTCTTGCAAAAACAACTTTCAGGGTGGATAAATGAAATGTTCTAGCAAGAGAATGCAAGGAATTTCAGTTTTCAAATAGAACAGCTAAAGCAAGTATTGGAGGCTTTAGATCATGAGGTCCTTGGTATAAATGTTAGTCATGTCTGGAGAAAGGTACTAAAAGTCCTGTTCAAGTATTTTTCATTTAACTCATGCGAACATGAGAAAAGATATCTGACAAATTGTACCCTGGCACAGTAGCACTGCTTTCCCTGGGCTTCTGACGCAGCTGGTGGCAGTGAAAAATTCAGACTTACAAGCATCACTTGCATGAAAGAATGCAAAATGGCAGGCAAATACAGCTTTTACTCCAGAAGCCAGCCCCAGTTAGCTGCACTCCAGGGCTACTAGATCTGGGCTGCAAAAATCTGGACAACCAGATTTCTACACAGAGATGCAGAAAACACTCTTGGCTATAGACATTTCAATATTGCAAGACACATATAGTAGTTCTAGGCCAGTCTCTGCTCAGCCATTCTTCTTCACTACAAATTCATAATCTCTTTGCTGTTGGTTTTTCTCCCACTACCCCCAACCTGCAGTTAACATTATCCAGCAATTTGTCAGCCGGACTCTGAAATGGGGTAAATGAGCAGGAGTGGAGTATGTGCTCTGGGCAGTAGTCTGTGGCTTTGTTTGTGTGTGTGCTTGAAAGCGTGGAGTGCATGGTCCAAGTCTAACATTTGTTATTTACTTTCTTAAAGCATTTAGACCTTGCCTTTCCCTAATCATTAAAGGAAGCACAGAGTATAAATTAAACTGATCTCTATATCAAAGCATATACTAACAAATTTATTATAGCATAAGATTTTCAGTGATCTGAGGTCACACATATCATAATTTCATTAGTCTGCACACCATATTTGTTCATCATCCATGACAAGACATGTCATTATTTTTTCTACGATAGACAAACAGGTTTCCCTCTAGCAGCTGGATCACTGTAAGTAATCCTTACCCGAGGATATTGTGGAAGGGGGCTAATTAACCTACCTAAAACCCAAGCTCATTTAGAATAAATCGTCTTCTTCCAAATGAGCTTCATGATTGTCCTGACTCATTCACAAAATGTGGTAAGGGGACAGGAGCCCAGGAATGGAACATAGATTAGAAAATAGTAGGAAACAGTGATGTTTTCATGGCTCTCAAAATTAAAATGGCATCTTTCTAGCCCGTATCTGTATCCATATCCTGTGCTCTAATCATCTTACTTTAGTGGATTTCTTGTTATTGGGAATTGCATGCACAATTCTGTCAGCTTATTCAGACATACAACAGCATGTGTGTGACTTGTAGGTGTGTGCTTCCAGGTTTGAACAGCCACAACCTGTTTTGTTCAGGGCTAATAAAATCTATACACCCTGAGCTTCTTTGGTCACCCCCTCCAGAAAAAGGCTGCTCCGTATCTCTGAGCTCCAAGGCGTCAGTTCTGTCGTCTGACAAACACAGAGGCAGTGAATCTGGCAAAACTATCGACAGCCACCTGCTACTGATTGAAGACATGGCCAAGAAGTTGCTGATGGAAGATGAAGTGGCAGCTGTACTGCGACATTGCACCCGAGTAAGAAGCTTCCCCAATGTTTCCCCAATGATTTTGATTTAAATACCGTGCAGTGACTTCCAGCAACCCTTCCAAGTACTGTCCTCTAATTGTGCTGAACTACTACCATTGTACAATTTTAGCTTGATTTTCTATACTTTCTTGCAGAACAGTATTGGTTGGCTTGCTTTCTTGTGTTTGAGATCATCCACTCTGAGTCTCCTGGTTTATAAGTATATATTTATGTTCATACACACTCACACACATGCTGGAGTTCGGGATGCTTTAAATCAGCAAACCTGGCAATCAAATGGCAATATTGGTTTTCATCAGGTTGAACTAGCTTTCCCCAGCCTTGTTCCCTCCAGAAATATTGAGATTGCAATTCCAGAATTCCCAGCCTAATTTGGACTTTGCCCAAACACAGGGGGTGAGGGATCAGGTTGGAGAAATTTCATTTAAACTACTGGTATCTCCCATTTTTCATCATCCATAAAACAGCCATTAGAGGGAGCTTTGAACCAATGCACAGTAGAAATTTATGTCCAGAGTACTGATAGGAAGCTGCTGGAAGGCACTCGTTTTCAAAATTCATAAACCATGAAAGAGAATGAAGGGAGCAGACAACTGTGCAGAAAGTCAGATCCAACCAGGATATGGGGAGGACTGTTGACATTCTGCAGCAGCCCTGAATCTTGCTTCTGTTCTCTTTAAATTAAAAAGAAAGCATCAAGTTGAACTTGACAAGAAGTAACAGAGTTAATATTGCCACCTAAAAATGACTGTGGGGAAATCTGTATTCCCTGAGCTCCTGAAGTCAAACTATTGGGGATGGACTTGAATAGGAGGCATAACTCCTAAGTGACTCAGATGGCCATCAGGCTAGTGGCATAGTAACAAGGATGGGAGAGGGGTGGGCAATAAGCTGTGCACTACAATTCCCAAAAGAGAATAACCTGATAAAGCACTTCTTCTATATTTGCTGCTGATCATTTTTTCTCCAAAAGTATATCCAAGAAAGTGGGGTGGAAGATCTGGTGAGGCCACTGCTGGCAATTCTTGACCGTCCTGAGAAGTTGCTACTTCTCCGAGATATCAGGTAAGAAGGAGGTCAGGCAGCCAGAACAGTTTAGCAGTTCAAGTTTGGAATGGCTGAGAGAGACCCAGGTTCGAGGCCCCTCCAGCCACAGGGCTTGCAAGGTGACTTTAGGCCAGCTGTTCCTTCTCAGCTAAATCCACCTCACCAAGATAGTTGTAAGAGTAAAATGAGGGAAAGCCCCAGGTGCACTGCCTTGAACTTCCTGAGGAGAAACAGGGCACACATTATGAACACACACACACAAAGAATATAAAGGAAATGTTTAGGATATAGCTATTGCTGTGATTCTTTCATCAATTTACCAGCCTTCCCCAAGCTGATATCTTCCAGATGTGATGGACTACAATGCCTATAATCTGCATACATTGGTCCAACATATCTTAGGCAATATGCCCCTTAGCTGCTGTGGGTAATGGAAGATGTAGTCTAACACATCAGGAGGGCACCAGATTGTGAAATGATGGTGTATGTGGGTTCCTTAAAATTGTGGTAATGTTCTCCCTTAGAAACACCTCTATTATATATTTCATGATCTGCATTATAGGTCAATGAGCAGAATTTTCCTCCTTTTTTTCAGAAGTGTGATTGCCCCTACGGATCTTGGCCGCTTTGACAGTATGGTTGTGCCCCTGGAGACGGAAGCCTACGATGCACTCAGGAGCAGAACAGGTGAAGGAGCCCGTAAGGGGTTGCATTTACCCTCTCCCAGGGTTTCTTTATACTGTGGGTTGGATGAATTTCAGGATTATCTACTTTAGGGTATGTGGTTTTTTTTAAGTTGAAATCTTAAAAAAAGAATTATCTGGGGGGATGACAACAGTTAAACCAAATTGAAAACAACAAAATAATAAAACACATCAATAAATCAAAGACAGCACAAAAAGAAAATAAATGAACTAAAATATATAGATATGCATGGTGGAAAAGATTCCTTCATATAAAGGATTGTCATCAGGAAAAGAACATTTCAATTTATTTGGCTATTTAAAAAAATCCAGGCACAGAAAATAAAAATCTCAACTCATTTGTGATTTCTTACAAAGCATCATGGTGTTCACATTTAATGCCTTTTCAAATTTTCTGTTCAGTGTTAATTAGCAAGCAGCATATAAAGCAATGTACAGCCCTTTATCTCAGCCAGCTTCATTTCTGTAACCTCTTTGCTTGAGAAGGAGGGCTAACAAGGCCATGATCCAGGGGTGTCTGCAGAGAGGAGGTCAAAAAAGGCAAGATGGCAGCCACAACCAGGTGACCAAAGCCCTTGACATTTTTGAGTCCCTCCTTGCAGACATCCCTGGCAAGTTCTGTTTTATGGGAAAGACTGCCATGTCAGACAAGGCCCTCTTCTGTCTGGAGTGGCTGTGCGAGCACAAACCATTTTCCTACTTGAGGCAAAGAAGAAAATGGTGTCCATCTCCTACTTCCTGCGCAAAAGCCAATCAAATTAGCATCAAATCTCTCTTCAACACTGGCAGTTGGACAGCATGAAAGCTCAAGGAGGAGAGGGCAGGATACATGGCACACAGCTCTCTCCTTTCAACACTTTACTGCTACCTTACAGGATCTGCACCTGTCGAATCTGCCTCCTCTTCCATCCCTGAAAAATGGGAACGCACTCTTCTTCTTTTCCTTCCCTGCAGATGTGATTCCCTTTCAGATAAACAGTTGTAATATCAAGCAATGTCCATGTAGAATGATAATCAAAGACTGGGAAAGTTTTAATTTGAACTCTTCAACCACTGCCAGAGTTGGAGCTTGCAGGAACTTTGGACTGGATCTACTTAACACTTGAAGGGGCAGCACCTACAAGCACATTTTGAAATGCTTGAGTGCTCTGTGCAATGTGGGAATTATGATAATCGGCTCTTCAACACCTTAGTAGCATCAGCAGATCTCGACAACTGACAACCAAACCAGCCTTGTCTTCAGTTTATCTTTAATGCCAACAGTTGAACCTTGAAATGATATCAAGTTTAAAGACTACAAATTACTTTCTCACATGCACGCACACTCAATCTAACATCTAGAAAGAAAGCATGACTTCCAAAACAGTCTTGAGCTGTGGAAATCCTTACTGTCTAGACCAGCATTTCTCAACCTTGGCAGCTTTAAGAGGGATAGACTTCAACTCCCACAATTCCTCAACCAGCACTGGGTGGGGGATTCTGGGAGTTGAAGTTCACACATCTTAAAGTTGCCAAGGTTGAGAAACACTGGTCTAGATCTTGGCAGTTTAAGCAGGGTGGACCACCTGTTGCTAGGGGATCCAAAACCTCTGTACAAAATTTAGTATAGGAAAAGAGTGAGACACTGATTTTTTTTTTCATGTCCACAGTGAGATCACCTGCTCTTCGCCCAACACAGCATGAAATACCCCCAAAGAGACATCTTATCACTCCGGTACCTGGTGAGTCTTTCTGTTACCTCGCACCCTCCTATCCCTCAAGCAAGTTTACTTATAAGACAAGAGTTTGAATTCTAGATTTGAAGGAAGTTATACAGATGTAATGATTGTGCACAATTTTAAATGTGCACACTTCTTCCTAGACACTGCATTTGTATGTATGCAGGATAAGAAATGTTTTTTGTAACTGGATTTATAGAATGGAAAGGAATATTGGGGACCTGAACAATGTGACACCACCACTGAAAACAATAATTTAAAGAACAATTACTTTTGACAGGAATAGTGCTGAATGGAAATACAGTACTATTGACATGTCTGGTATAAGCTGGCTACTAATACTGCCTGCCAAATAAGCCACAAGGGGGTGATCTGAATTTGATTAGTTAGGGGGGACTAACACACACACACACAGAGTAATTATCACATTAAGAATCATCTAAATTAACCATTGCTTATATGCTCAATATCTGGGGCCAAATTTTCACTCCAAAATCTACACTCTGGCCAACAGTAACAAGTTCACTTCAAGCAGCAGATACTGGGTATGTTTCCCTCTGTTAATTTTCCTAATCCTGAGAGGAAAAGGAAATTATGATAATAATTTTATCCTATGAATCTGGTTACAGATTTCAGGGGTAGTTTCCTTCTGAAACCAGTGATGACCAACAAGGCAAAGGGGGAGGAGGAACACAAGGAGATGCTGAAGGATGCCATGAAAAGGCTGCAGCTCTCTCCCAGCCCTGGACAGACTCAACCTCAAAGCTATACTCCTCTTGCTGATGTGCCAGTGGATGCCTATACTCCCAACAGTGTCTCCTCCTCAGCAACCAGGGGCAAGGAACCTCATTGGAGTCTAACTAAACCTACAAAACCTTCAATGAACTCCCTACACACTGTATCCTCTCAGGTGCAATCCCTGGAGCATGAAGATGGACAATCTAGCAGAGGGAGGCCTTCTACTCCAAAATCAAGCCATGGGCAAGATGTGGCAAGGGGACCACATGGGGAAGTCTTGCCTGCCAGGGATACTCTCTATTCTGTAATCAATCGACCACGCAGAGCTAGGCCCCTGCTCTCACAGATCTTCAAGGAAACCCCAGCTACTAGCAAGGTAACGCAAGCAGAAATGGGAGATGAGGTCCCAGAGAAGCTGCTCCAAAATGGCCCCAGTGACAAAAAGGAGGAGGAATATGAACTGGTGACTATCAGACTGTCCAAGGACAAACAATCTCTGGGTAAGCAGAGCTCTCTAAATTGAAAGGGGGGGAGGGGGAGGGAGAGAGAGAGAGAGAGAGAGAGAGAGAGAGAGAGAGAGACACACAC